TATCACTCAAAAGCAGAACAAAGATAAAGTTCTATGAGTCAATTATATAATTAAAAAATCACTCAAAAGCACAACAAACCTCATCTACCTAAACCACAAGCTTCTAGGTCAGTAAAACAAAAGCCGATGTTTAACAAAACTATCCAATAGATATCAAAATTATTCAATGGATTTTGTTTTTAACATGAGAAGTTGAAGTTTACCTTCAGAGAGCCATCTCAGCATGTAATGCAGCGAGTTCATCTTCCTCGGTGGTTTGTTGCTTCTGAGTTGCAGGACGGAAATGTTGCTTTGGTTCAGGAGCGTTTGGAACGGGTCTTATTGCTTTCTAGTTGTTCAAGTTCTGCTTCCAATTCATCCTGTAATTTACCAATAAACGCAATCTTGAGAAAACTGAAAAGGATTTTTATTTTATTTTTAAAAGAATACACGATTTGTGGGTATAAAGGAAACTGTATAAAGGAAACTTTACCTCATCGAAATCAACAGCAAACCAATTTGGAGCCGACAATGCTTCTTGGATCTGTTTCATGTTCTCGGTTTGCTCATTGATCTCATCCATTGTCTTGTCTACATCATCAATGTTACTGCAAAACAAATGTGTTTGTGAACCACACTTAGTGGCTGATTAAATCATACGTTATATAACTCGATAGTAAAAAAGGCAGGTAGATAAACACATAGGTTGCTTTTTGCATATTTTTCATTGCATAAGCACCGGCCGTCAAAGCATCTACAGTCTCTGTTGTTGCTTTGGCAACTTCTAACATAATCATCTGTTTACAAAAGAGTGACATATTTAGTAGCAAATTTCATAAAATGCTTCAATGAAAAGAGAGACTCACTTGATCAAGGATACGGAGATGGAAATTCCCAAGCCGTTCAACTTGTTGGTTCAACTTGTTGCTCATATAATTTTTTCCTTTTCAAACATTGTATAACCGCTGCACAATAACAAAATACACGTAAATAACCTATCTAGTGACAGCACAAACACATTCTTGGATTTCTTAACATGGATACATGTATATGTATAGACACACATGCCTAAATCAAAATTTCATAAATCACAAGCAATAATTGTTCGTACCGTGTTTGATCTTGGCCCGGGTGAATTCCTTTGCTCTATCAACCTCTGTAGCAGCTTTCTTCAGAAGAACACCTTCCTCTTTCTCTAGCATCTCAATGGTCTGAGGAAGAAAAACAACAATACAATCAAGAAATTACCAAAAGAAGCATTCAAAGAACAATAACCCAATACTTAATATTTTTCTTACACAAGAGAGTGCCTAATTTCAGATGACACAATAACATCTTCGTTGTTTACAAATTGCTGGTTTCGTGAAAAACAGGATTTATGTCTCTCTTTGTTTCTTCACTTATTTGACAGCTTTGTTCATTTTTTAAGTAATACTTTTTTCAAAAGAATCTGAGTTTGCTCACAAAGAGGGTTTGAGTAGATCCTTGTTTTCTTTAGCTTAATATAAATTCTGAACAGAGAGCCCACGAAAAAGAAACAATCCTCAAAGCTCAATAATCGCATGCACCGAGACCCGAAACACAGTGATAATTACCTGATTATTTAATCGCAGTCACTAACATAAATTCGCCGAAGAACACCGCTTCTCAATCAAAAACCAAAAGGAAAAAACCAGAAAAACTTTTTCATCCTAAACAATATTTCATAAGAAAATAACACCATAGCAAATATTTGAAACGGCTAGGGTTTTAAGAAAAGAATCAAAAGAGTAATTAACTATAATCCTTGGTTTCAAAGCTAAAACATGAAACCTAATTGATGAATTAGTGAACCACAACCCTTGAGACTCTCCCACAAAAACAAAACAAAGCAAAGAAATTTAAAGGAGATAATTTTTTCAGAGAAACAATTTATACCTTAATCGAAAGAAAAAAATAACCTAAAGAACATAGAAACGAATCAATAATCAATCAAAACAAAAACAAATAAAATGATCAAAAGTATATAAATCATAAGAATACGAAACGATATAGATATAAACAAAAATTAAAAAGCGTAAAAAATAACATACCTCGTAGATCTAAGTGCTAACACGCAAAAACCTTTCAAAACATAACAACACCCATTAACATATACCTGTAAAAATAAGAATATCAAAAACATTAGAACATAATAATATATCATTAACAAATCATCAAAACTCGTTAAAATCCATTAGATTAGAAACATATGAAAGCAACAATATTATATAACAAAACAACGAAAGAAAAACAATTGATATTAAACCTAGAAAAAGAGCGACTAACAAAATTATGGGAAAGAGATCGATATATATAACTTTTTATACATCTAGGGTTTTGCGAAAAGTAGCCAAAAACGGAACTGTTATTAAGCCCATCAACGATTCACCACTTATTCGCATCTTGTCGGCTTACGGAACTGTTATTAAGCCCATCAACGATCCACTATGTAGTCAATGGCATTTGATCATAATTAAATAGAAATTTTAGGGCAATAAGGTAATTTCAAATCTGAAATTGATTATGCAGCTGCCACCTAGGATTCGTGACTTCTCATTTATAAGTATATATTTAGTCAAAGACTAGTAGTATCTCCGTGCTACGCACGGATATTATTTTGCCAACAAATAAAACCAAGTTTTTGTTATATACACATCACTAAGAACTACATGTATAAAATAATCTGCACTGATCATAAAAAAACTTGACGTGTAATCCATAAAAAGATATTACTACACTTATAATTGGTTAACCACAAAAGGCATATGTATATGAGTTAAGTAAGATTTAAAAAAAAAAAATTTACATACATTGATCCTTCTTTATGTCTTGCTATCTCTGTATTACATCTTTAAAGAGAAGAAGCAACCATTAATTGTGTATCAGCACCGTTTGCAACACAATCTTACAAATCCAAGTAAAACAAATAAATAAAAAATCAGTGTGTAACATAGAAACATTAATGAATTTGAAGAGCACATAGACAAAAGTGTAGCATATAGTGCTTCTTCATTTTTTTTCTTTTCCAACAATTCTTCAAGAGTGGAATTGTATTTTTGCCAGAAAAAAGACTGAGAAAAAGTTACCTTCGAAAATAATTTCATTGATCATTTGAGACTTTGAGTATCTATTTTTTTTTTATTGCGGTTAAGAGATGAGGATGCAAAAGAGTTGAGAAGCTTTCGTTTCATTGTATTGATATATCAAACATCGGAAAAATTAAAAGAAAATTGTGAAAATTGAATCAATTGATAACGAAATGTAATGTAGCTAATATTCCCTTGATTGTGATTCGTGAAAAGATTACTCAATCATCGTTCCATTGGCAGCACGGATTTTGTTATCTTCAACTCTTCATGTTCCTCTTGCCACTTAAACCGTACATATATAAACCAATTCTTCTTACCGAAATTATGAAACATTGAAATTATAAGAAGAAAAAATAATGTCAGAGTACTCTGTCGATTTTCCAAAAGAAAAAGTCTACTGTTTTGAGTTTACGTCTGCAATGAAATCATTTGTGCTTTCGTCTTCTTTTGACCTTCTTCGATTTCAATGTTGTGCTCTCTTCATTAAAATTTTCTAATTCCCCAATTTTGGATTAGGGTTTTGAATTGAAGAAAATAAAAGTACAAGTTATATATCGTGGGATCGATTACGGTTACGGTTCGTGTTTGGGAAGGAAGAGATCGTAAGATCGTGATTCGAGAAACCGTCGATAGGTTGATGTTTTTTTTCCTCGCTATCTCGATTTAATTACTTTTTAATTGTTTTTTAAATGCAAGCAAAATCC